ATTTCAAGATATACTACAAAGCTGTATTAATCAAAACAGTATGGTATAGTATGGGCACAAAAAATAGACACATAGATCAATAGAACAGAATAGAAAACCCAGAAATAAGCTCACGATTATATGATCAATTAATCTTCTATAAAGGAGGCAAGAATATCCTATGGGAAAAAGTCCCTTCAACAAAAGATACCAGGAAAACTGAACAGCTATATGCAAAAAAAAGAAAAAAAAAGAAACTGGACCACTTTCTTACACCATACACAAAAATAAACTCTAAAGGGAGTAAAGACCTAAATGTAAGACCTGAAACCATAAAAACACTAGAAGAGAGCCCGGGCAGTAATTTCTCTGACATCAGCTGTAGCAACATTCCTCTAGATGTGTCCTGAGGCAAGGGAAACAAAAGTGAAAATGAACTATTGGGACGACATCAAAATAAAAAGTCAGCAGAGCATAGGAAACAACCAGCAAAACCGAAAGACAACCTACTGATGGGAGAAGACATTTGCAAGTGACATATCCATAAAGGATTGGTATCCAAAATATATAAAGAACTGATACAACTCAACATACATTAAAAAACACAATCCAATTAAAATATGGGCAGAAGACACGGACAGATATTTCTCCAAAGAAGACATCCCAATGGCTAACAGACACATGAAAAGATGCTCAACATCACTCATCAGCAGGGAACTGCAAATCAAAACCACAGTGAGATATCACCTCACACCTGTCAGAATGGCTAAAGTCAAAAACACAAGGAACAACAAGTGTTGGCAAGGATGTGGAGAAAAAAAGAACCCTCTGGTGCACTATGGGTGGGAAGGCAACCTGGTGCACTTGGAAAAAAAATAAAATATCCTAAAATTGAAAATCTAGGTCAAGAGTTATCGGATAAATGGTACAGAGGAAATTTTCAGTGTCGAAGCTGAAAGCAGTACCTAGTTAATCTATTTATCTCAGCTTATATATATTAGAAGCATGAAGATTATGAACCAGTTTTCTAGAAGGAATAAAGAGATATGTGAAACATTTTTCTGAGGCCAAACTAATGCAATCAAATTAAACTGAAGAATAATTGAGGCGGAAGACCCAGGAACAAGCCGATATGTAGGACCCGCCACACTGTGAGCATAATACCCAAAGTATGAGGAATAATCCCAGGGTTGAGAAATATTTCTGATACAACTTAGGTAAACTTTAACTCATCAGGGCAAATGGATGCGTCATTTCTAGTTCAGTGTCCATTGCAATTCTCCTACATGCTGCTCACTCCCCCAACTTGTCAGGGTCAACTATTTGGTGCATTTTGAGTTAGGGCTATGGCTGTCTTTTGCATGCATGTGGTGTGTGCATTGGGTTAGTCCAGGCCTTTGCTACCCAGAGGTGGTTCACAGACCATCAGCCTCGGGCTCACCTTGGACCTTGTTAGAAATGCCAAGTCTCAACCCAATCCTACTGAATTAGAATCATTTTAACAAGATCCTCAAACACACCTTGAGGTTTGAAAAATGTCTAAAACAGAAAGAAAATTCTGTTAAGTGTGAAGAGAGAGCTAGCAGCCATGCAGTGGCTATGATCAGTCCCCGAGTTCCACTTGGAATATCCTTCCCACACTCTCCATTAATCTACAGATAAAATTTCATCCCCTGGGAGAAAGGCCATAACATCCCTTTACTCCTGGGCTCACTTGATCATCAGACTTAATTATCTAAAATATGGTCCAGCTGTTGGAACAAACAAACTCCTTTCTAGGTGACTAGCATGGATGTCTTAACCCCTATATATCAGGGCATAGGGAAAGAAGTCAAGTGCGTGCTTGGGGTAGGTTTACAATGAGAATTGGTGATAGAAAGAATACCTTTAACATTTTCATGGTTATTTAGTTTCATAAATCTTGTTCACACGTCATAAACAGTCACTCAAATCTCAGAGAAGCGGTTGGCAATCCTCGGTGCACATTAGAATCACCTGAAAAATCCTTTGGGCGGGGGTAGAAAGAACACCAAAGCCCCAGTCTCAGAGATTCTCGTCTAAAATGGTCTGGGGTGAGGTCCAGACACAGGTATTTTATAAAAGCTTCCCAGGTGATTCTAATAAGCAGCGAGGGTTGCAATCCACTAGCTTAGTGATTTCCGGCCGTTCATTATAGGGCCCAGAGGCCTGGAGACCTACATAGCTTCTAAGTAGTTTCTTTATAGCTTGCTGGTCATTGCCCGATGGTTGGGATGACACTGATGACCAGGATTTTAAGGGGAAAACACTTTCTATATTAGAAGTGATTCTGAGAGAAAATAAGAGAGGCTACAACTAAATGATACAGAGTCATATATCCAAGGTTTGTGTCACAGAGAAATCTAGAGGGAAATGATAGAATGAGACACCCACCATCTCTCCCTCTTGTTTCCCCCCTGTAGACCAATGCTTAAGGTGCCCACCAGTCCTCTGGGGATCTTGCTGAAATGCAGATTCTGACCCAGTTGATCTGGGGAAGGCTTGAGATATAGCTGAACTGGGGACCACACTTACATAGCAAGGTTCTAGACCCTACTGATGGTCGTGACTCACCCCCAAGGCTCTTCCTTGGGGCCCAGCCAAGAAGATGGCCTCCTCACTCCTGAAAAACAAATTCCACTGTGGCCTTTCATATCCAGAACCACTCTGCCCAAAACCGTTCTTAACCTCCTACTAGACAACTTTATCAGAGGATCAGGGACTGTTGAGTTAGCATGGGCTTCAAGGGCAGCTAGCAGGGCCCCTTCATTACACAAGTGTGGCAATGAGGCCGAGGGCAAAGGATTTGCCAAACTCATGGGTGATAGACGCAGAGTTGAAACTGGACCCAAAGCCAGAACACAAAAGCATCAGCGAAGGATTCTTTTAAAACAAACAAACAAACAAACAAAAAAACGCAAAAGAAGTTGCTTTGTGTTACTTTGTAAATGAAACACTTGATTATCCTCAGGGAGCTTATAGACAAGGGAGTCGGAAAGTTGTATGTGACTCTAAAGCTAGGCCCACTGACCTTCAAGCCCTAAGATGGGGCAGGTAACAGGCTGAAGAGGCTTGCCCTGTCCCTGAGACCACACAGGAGCTATTCCTTTCTCATGGGACTTCCATAAAGAAGGCTCAAGGGCCCCCCAGAAGCTGCCCTATGAACTCCTCAGTCATCTTATGCCACTTTCATGCTTTGGAACCCCTTCTCAAATGATTTTCTAAATCCTAACAAGAATGAGGTACACTATTGCTCAATATTAAGAAGCCCTCATGTGATGCAGAAGGCACATATTGTTCCTTGAAAGGGGGTCGGGGGTGTAAGGATCATATATATTCCCAGAACACTCAGAAGCATATCCAGCCAAGGGAGTCTGAATCTTGCTCCATTATTTATTCTTTTGGGGACCTCTTCGAAAAGCAGAAGGAGTAGTAATGAAATTGGCATCTCAGTGGCATTCTGGGTCCTGGAGCCATCGACACAGCGGGTCAGTGGCCACACTGGCTCGTAGGTGCCCCCTTCCCTTGCCACACTGTTTAAGCCGGATTTGTCATCATTTTTTACCTCAAAGCTCAGGACTGGGCTGAGACTTCCCCAGCAGACATATTAGCATATTATCTTGCTCCCAGTGGCTATCTGGGTCTGGAATTAAGAACCATCCACAGGGAAATCAGCCTAAATGCCGCAAGTCTGAATATCAAATACTAGCACCACCAGGGGCTGCCCTGGGAAGGAGGTTTGCTGGGCTCATGTCTGCCTCCTCCACTCCCCACTTGGCTTTGGCTTTTGTCTTCTATTTTGTGTTCCCGGTAAATCCAATTATATCTTTATTACCGTAGCCCACCTCAGCACTTTCTTGGGAATTAGGCTGTCTGGATCCGCAGAGAAGCAGATACATACCTTTGCTATCAGGGAATCCGGGTTAAGCTCATTCTCAACTTTTGTGATATTGCAAAAGATCCCAAAGTTATTTTCTTAGCGCCTGGTCAGAGAGACAGGAAAGAGCTAGAAGATGAAGCACCAAACTGCCGCCAATGGTGATGTTTGAGCAACGAGGCCGGAGCTCGGCTTACATGTTTCTCATTGTACTTTATTTTCTTAATTGCCTTAATGGGCATGTGGTGTACTGCAAAATGAAGTGAAATTGTTTTCCTTATTTGCTGTAATTTACAGAGAGTGGGTTTGATCATATAACCCAGGGACTTTTCAATTCCATTGATCTTGGAAGTGGAGAGAAGGGATTCTTTTCAAGCATTCATTTTGAATGATGTGCTCACCAATGAATTCAAAGCCTGTTAAAGGAAAAACCCATGTTTCTTCACCACCGTGTTTCACAATAGCCATTAGATGACCACACCATCATCAAAGCCGTGGAAAATGTGTGTGGGTGGGGGACCGGGGCTTCAAGAGTTGCACTTGGCCAAGGAAATTGATTCTCACACCCCATGCACAGGCTGAAGGTGATGCCGCGAACCTGGGAAAGTTCAGGCTTGGTTCAGGCTCGCATGGTTCTCTTCTGATCCCAGGAGACGCGAAGGGGGTCCTGGCTCTGGGTTGCCTGGCATCGACTGTGAGTTCCCAGCAGAGGCCTGGTGTCCCGGTCTGGGGTGTGACTTGTGCAGTCACACACGGTGACTGACTCGGACAGTGGGGTCTGGGCGTCCCAGGGGGTGGAGGACGCCGGCACCTCCTGACAGAGGAAAGACCAAAGGCCACAGACAGGGGTGCCTCCCCAGCAGTGGGGAGTGGGAGCTGGAGGGCTGGGGGCGTGGGAAAAGCCACGAGTCTATGGGGCTGGGGCTGCTCTCCTAAACGGGGCCAGGGTCCCCTGGAGCAAGACCAGCTCCAGAGCGGATCCTGCCTTGCGCCCGCCCTCCTCCCGCCCCGCCGCTGGGGGGCGCCCGCGCGCGTCCCGCTATAAAGCGCCAGGGTCGTGCGTCCCGCGCACCAGCGAGTCGGTTCGAGAGGCTCCCGCGGGGGCTCCTGAGTCGCCCGGGGCGCCATGGGCGAGCTCCCGTTCTTCAGGGCGCACACAGCCTTGCACCCGGACCACCTGTGGATCTGGGAGAGGTCCGTGTACGTGGACGAGAACCAGCGCACCTGGCTGCCCATAACCATCGAGGTACAGCGGCCTTGGGGCGGGCCGGGCGGGCGGCGTGGGCGTCCGCAGCCGCCACGTGGGGGGACCTGCCCCGGACTTCGGGGGTGTCGGGCCTCCTCCGTGCCGCGGGGGAGCACACCTCACCAGGAACGCAGTGGTATAAGAGCCGGACTAAGAGCAAAATTAAAGGATGTCCTAGTAGGACGGTTACGTTATAGAACAGCAAAAAGTTACACGGTAGTGACTGTGTCCCGGTTTTACAGATGAGAAAACTGAGTCACAACCTGTAAACCTGCCCAAAGTAGTCCTGCTAATAGGTGATAAGCTTGAAATTCCAGGCTCTTAACCACCATGTTTACTGGCATTTAATGTCTTTTTTAAGTACACAGATAGGTACTTTTAAGCATCAAATATCTACTTTTTTTAAGTCGGGTATTTGAAGAGAATTTATGTGACTATCTTTTTTAAAAAACCCTGGTTGGCGAATATCTTCTTAAACATGACACCAGAACCACAAAGCAGTGTAGGTCACGTAATCATTATAAGTTATGCGCAAAACATAACCCGCTAGCGCACTGTGGGGCAGGATTCGCCCCCATGTAATTGAAAGGACTGGTATTCTTAATACGTAAAGGTTGACTTAAATCAATAAGGGAAAAAAAGGAACAAGCAGACCAAAAGTGGTTGAAGGATATAGAAAACCATATACGAACACAGCAAGCATGGTGTTTCCATTTATATCTTGCAGGAGGATCTGTATTATTTCTTAACAATTCCAATGTATTTCATGGATGGAAAATTTAAAAAATGATTTTCACTTTGGAAAGTAGTTATTGAACCAACATGAGGGCCTAGTTTATATGCCGAGCACAATTCTAGGCTGTGAGGGTTTGCAGTGAATTTGATAAAATCCCACTACTCTGAAGCTGACACTGCAGGGTGGGGAGGGGCAGGACATCAAAATAATTGAGGCTGCTGGTAAGTTGTGCAGGATGAAAGGCAGTAACGAGTGGGGCAGGGTCTACAAGCAAGACCCCTCAAGAGTATTAACTCACACTTGCCTGTCATGCAGACCTTTGTGAAGCTCCCTTTTAGACGTGCGTGCTTCATGTGTAATTCATAGAGTTGGATTTTGCTGAAATGTGTCCCTAGAGACATATTTGTGCAGAGACCTGTCTCTGAAGAAGGGTGCGAGCCCTCTGTAGATCTAAGGGAGAATGTGCCAGGCAGAGGACCACAAATGCAAGAGATTACTGGGAATGTGACATGTCCCTGAAATAGCGAGGAGGCCCTTGTGGCTGCCACAGGGTGGAGGGTGGAGGATAGAATGGGAGATGAGGGAGGCGGGGGCCCACATTAGTGGGTCTGTGGACCGTGGTAAAGGTTGCATTTCCTCCTACCTGCCGTGAAAAGCCACTGGAGAGCGTCGGGCAGGAGGGTGACACGATTTTTAGACGCGCACCCCGGCTGCTGTGCGGGGAGCTGATTGGGAGGCATATGACCATAAGGTGGCAAGTTAGCTTATTGCAGCAGAGGGGTGGTGGTGGAGGTGGGGAAAAGTGTTCTCTCGCCGGTTTCACTGGCGCTCTACGGGGGCACCTGGCTGGCTCCGTCAGTGGAGCTTGCAGCTCTTGATCTTGGGGTTGTGGGTTCAAGCCCCACATTGGCTGTAGAGATTACTTAAAAAAAAAAATAAATAAAATAAAACCCCATGGCAGCTGACATCAGCACCACACTGCAGTTAAGGAAGCTCAGGGACAAGCTTTAAGTCTGTCAGGAAGCAGCGGGCTCCATGTGGCCCCGTCTGGGTGTCTAGACACCTGTGAGTGCCGGTCATCCTGGCCTCGCCAGCGTCCCTGAGAGGGGCGTGCATGGCTTAAGCGGGGGGTCGTTGCTGGGAACAGTGATCACCAGCATCTCAGATGCCGGCCGGGCTGCCGGGGGCGGGGTGGGGGGGTGGGTTGGGAAGGACTCTGGGGATTTGCGTGCTGGGGAGCCTGGGCCCTGAAGGCGTGCCCTGGTCTTCTCTTCAGACGGAGAGTAGCCTCCAGGTACTCATGCGTCAGGAGGATGTGTCCCTGGGGGAGGCTGTGTGCCCCAGCCTGCTAGCCCCATGCCCGCTGCCTTCCATGTGGCAGCTCTACCCTGGAAGAAGATACCGAGGCTCAGACTCGAGTTTCTGGCGCATAGTGTACCACATCGAGGCAAGTGTGTCCTTCTCCCAGGGGCCGTTGGGTCATCTGGGGTGGCCCTGCCCCTCCGCCCCCCATGTCTGGCCTCAGCTGTATCCGCTCCCCCATCTCTGCACCAAAAGCTAAACAAGGGAAGGAGTTTACACTGCAGGTTCTTAAAGGACTGGATTAGAGAGAGGTCAGAAGTGACTGCCTGGGCCACTCTCTGAGGTCTAATGGAAGCCCCCTCGGCCCAGGAGGGGCCTCTCTGCTGGGCAGCCAGGGGGTGAAGGCTGGTGGGAGGAGGGGCTCCTAGAATCCCCTGCCCCCAGGCAGCTTCCTGGAAGCTCCTGGAAGCTCCTGGAAGGCCTGGAGCAGGGTTGAAGGACAGAAGGAAGAGTTCCCTGGACCGGCCTCTCACCCCCTTCTCTCGTGCAGTTCAGTGGCAAGGAGGACATGCTCCTTGAGCAGCTGCCGGACCCGGAAGATGAGTGACCAGGTGAGTACCTTTGGGGCCAGCACCTGTCAGTCCAGAGTGACCAGGGCAGAAAGAAAGAACACCCTCCCCCCACTGAAGGCAGTGCTGACTCCCACCCCCAACGGTACTGCCCTCTGTGGGTCTCAGGGTCTGGGGATCCAGGCTTGCCCCTTTAGCACCTTGGGGGCTAGTAATTTTCAGGGGAGCCCCCTTCCTAGTAGGGACACACATCTGTACAGTGCCTCGCCGTTGAGGGCGCTGCCGCTCGATCATCACATCGACTGAGCTAGGAATGATTTCATTTCCTAGGTTACAAAAATGAGCTTTGAGGAAGCACAGTGACTGTGCAGGTTCCCAACCCCGGTGTTCTGACCCCGGGCTGCTCGCTCTATTCGTAATCTGCCGTGGCTCAGATGTAAGGCCTCAGCTCGGGGGCGGGGGGGGGCAGTGACCCCCAAGCTCTCCGTGCAGCCTCACCCCAGCAGCTCTGCTCCTGCCCGCCCTCCACCCCGCCCCACGCCTCTGCCACCTCCTTCCCTTTGCCTTTGACTCTGTCTTCTCTCGGCCTCCAGGCCCAGGTCCCGCAGCTCCTGTCTCCTCCTGCCCCCGGAGTCCAAGTGCTGCTGGCCTTCGTTCACCTTCGTTTCCTGGCCCTGCGTGTTCTGTTCTGCCACTCCCCAGTCCGGGAGGGAGCGAGGGGCAGAGGATGAGCCCTCCCCGGGGCGTGCGGGGCCTGCCTGCAGCCCCTTCGGCCTCCCCCCAGCAGATTGGCACTGGAGAGGAGGCAGGTTGGTGTGGCTTCCTCCAGCTGCCCCAGCTCTAGCTGCCATCCGGGTGTCTCCGTCCCCTGATGGCGTTTGGCCTCTCTCTCCCGTGGCCTCCCGTGGCTGCTTCTCACTCTGTTCCCTCAGCTCTGTGCGCCTCTGGCTGCAAGGGAATGGGGCCCACTCACTTGAGACGGGGCCAGGTCTTAGAGCCCGGGGACCAGCCATCGCACGTGGTACATGTCTGCACTTGACCGTGCCTATAAAAGCCCCCACTGCGCAGGCAGGCTCTGGTACAGTTCGCGGGAAGGCCCAGGAGGATCCCAGATCTGCGTGCAGGACCAAGGAGCCCACTGGGCCACGTCCACGGCTCACGACCTAGCAGGAGGCCGAGCAGGCGAGCGCTGCGGACGCCCTTGGGTGGCCCATGTGTAGAGGGACAGAGGTCGAAGGGGCCTCTTCTTTTTAACGGTGCCCACACACCTTGGTGTTATGAAGTTGTATGTAGTGTGAACACTTGGCAATGTTGATTGATTAAATGTAAAACAGTTATCTATATTTGTGCTTGAACCAGCTTCTATCTGTGACCTGGATTCCTGGAGAGAAGCAAGAACAGGCAGTCAGTCACCAAATTAGAAATTTGGAAAGGGAAAGAATACTCATGAATGTAGTGTATTTCTTTTACTTGGGTGAGAAGGCTGGAAATCTGTTTTTCCCCTCTCCCTCCCTCCCTGCCTCCCTCCCTGCCTCCCTCCCTCCCTGCCTCCCTCCCTCCCTCCCTCCCTCCCTCCCTCCCTTCCTCCCTTCCTCCCTTCCTCTTTTTGCTTGCGTGTAATCCAAATGCTCAGAACCCTAGTGTTCTTGGAGGCATGATCTGAGAACCCTTGGAGTCAGTGACCCCAGAAAGTCTTTGTCAGCAACCCCTCGTGTTCAAGGTCCCTCTGTGTGGTCCCTCCTCCCTGTGGGGGCACTCACCGGGCACTGTCCTTTACATGCCTAGTTCCAGTGTCAGCAGGAGTCCCTCTCCTCACCTGAAACTGTCCCCAGCAGTCACAGCCCAGCCCACCCCGTGCCCTGTCTCCTTCTTCCTGAGCAGGTGAGCAGGGCCTCAGGTACTACCAAGGGATGCCTTCCAGGAGGAGCGACCCATCCCTTGTGGCGTGCTGGTCCTCGCCACTTGTGTTACCGCAGTCTGTAGCTTCCTCAGAGAGATGCGGGGGGATTGATATGTATTTTAAGTATCTAATAAGAGAATTCTCTAAGAAAAGTACCGCTTCTCCTATTTTGTATTCCCTGATGCCAGTCTTACCTGGACAGATAGACGTGGAGTCCCTCTTCTGATTTTAACCCCGTTGCCTTGCACAGGGCTTGCCAGTATAAGAGTTTGGTAAGAGTTTGGTGTGTGGGAGCTGTTCCTAGACAGACCCCTCTTGGTAGGGACTGAGCCTCAGGACGTCAGAGCAGGAACAATGTCAGAGATCAGCCAGTTGCCTCATTTTAGCAACTGACCCAGGAAGAAGAACGTTCGTGTTTTGGGCCGACTGTGTCCCCCCACATTCATACGTTGATGCCCTAACCTCCAGGCTCCTAGCGGAGCCTTTGGGAAGTGGTTAGGATTAGCTGGGGTCATGAGGGTGGGACCCCGTGATGGGATTAGCACCCTGATGAGAAGAGGAAGACGCAGAAGGGCAAGGCCAAGTGAGGACACAGAAGACAGCTGTCTACAGGCCAGGAAGAAGGTCCTCACCAGCACCCAGTCTACCGGCACCTTGATGTTGGACTTCCCAGCCTCTAGAGCCTTGAGAAATAAATGTGTGTTGTTTAAGCCACCCAGTGTCTGGTATTTTGTTACAGCAGCCCAGGCAGATGGACTGTTCTTGTTCCAGATGCTTGTTTGGGAAACATCAGACTGGCACTGTGAACTCTGCTGGGGGCTCCAGATAACAGCAGTGACCAGAACCCAGGCCCTGCTCTCGCGCAGCTCTTGTTTTGGAAAAAGACCAACGAGCAGCTTGGGGTGCACAATCCTACAGAGGAAATAGAACAGGGTAATCTGGTGAGTTTGCTCGGATGGGGAAGAAATTCCCATCTCTGGAGGTGACCTCCAAGTTTGGACCTTGAAAATGAGAGAGAGCTAGATTCTTAAAGCAGGGAAGAGAGTCCCAGGGAGAGGAAATGGCACGCGGTTCACGTTTAATTTGCTGTGGAAATTAGAAACGGCAAAAGGATTTCTGCTCATTAAAAGGCCGTTTTATAAGAGTAAGTGACCCTAACGAATTAACTGTAAATACAGTGCAGGATCTCCGTGTTCCATGGCAAGAGTGACTTTGGGCTTTGGCTGCAACAGCTGGGTGGACGGTGATGCTGCCACTTGAGTTGGGGATGAGACTTGGGGCAAAGGGGGAAGTAGCAGAGTTCGGGTTTAGCGTGGTGTTGAGTTACAGAGGCTTCGGATTCCGGAGTGTTGATGGGCTGTTGATTGAACGGGGGTCCAGAACACAGGTCCAGACTGAAATGATAAATGTAGGAGGCATTAAAAAAATACACATGATCATCAAGGCCAGGGCCTGACTGAAGTCACTTAGGCAGAGGTGGTGGTATCTCTGGAAGCAAGAGAAGAATGTGTTTTTAAGAAGGGGACCGAGGAACACATGCTGTTCGGGGCTGAGTAAAGAGGAGTGAGTGACCCACCTTGGGATCTGGTCACCTGGGGATGGACGGTGATGTCGTCAGGGAAAGTTCCAGTGCTGTGACGGGTGGGCGCCAAGAGGAGGCGAGGTAAGAGGGATGACCTCACTCTGAGCCTTGTTGGACCTCGGAGAAGCCTGGCTTCCTGGGTGGGTTGAACCGGGGGTAATGAGCCTGGGTATGTGCACAGAAGGGGACAAACTGATGAGGCAGAACAGGGTAGGAGAGGGGGTGCAGCCGAACAACATTCCTGAAGCTAACAGATGAACCCAGGGCACAAACGTCTGTTGGTGTCAGATGTAGACGCCCATGTGGTTTTCAATAATGTGCCCATCCTGCTTCCTTCCCCTCCCCATACAGAATGGGGATCCATTTTGTTTGTTTTGCTGAAGTATTTTAAGTACTTGAGAATCTCACCCACAGGCATTTTCTTGCGTATCTTACAGACGAGACTTTTATTCCTGATAGCCACCATGCCATTATCACACCTGACAAAATTAACTGTAATTCTTAATACCCTCTCATACCCAGTCTGTTTTCAGATGTCCTCACTGATCTCCAGTGTCTTTCCACAGACAGCGGGTGGTTGATGTGTCTCAGGTCTCTTGTAATCTATGTAGGTAGATTGTCCTGTAGACCTCCTGGATTTGGTTCATGGCCTCCCAGAATATCCTTTCTATGCTTGTCCTCTTCCTATTTCCTGTAAACCTACCGTTAAATTGATTAGACTCTGCTTTCATTCTTTGGGCACGAATCTTCCATAGGTGGGGCCGTATATAGTGCTCAGGGCATCGGATCAGGAAACACCCACGTCAGGTTACCCCACTCTGAGTGGCGATGAGAGTGATCTGTGGGCTCTGGTGGTGTCAGCCCCCCGTCCATCCTGGAGCACCCCCCGCCCCATCAACCTGTCCTTTCTGCACCTTGGGCATGTTTCCGATGCGCAGTCATCCTGTCTGAGAACATTGTCTTGCTTTTTACTTAAGTCTACATTGTGTCTTTCAGAATGCTTTATAGTTTTAATCGTAAAGGTTTGGCACATTCTTGTTGAAGCTGTTCTCCGGCTTTTTGTTTATTTTTATTATTGTAAGGGTGTCTCTCCTTTTTGTCATCTTTAATGGGACCTTGCAGGGTTGTATCTGTATTCATGTGTGTATAAAATGCCTATTACTGTTTCCTGTATGTCAGTTTTATAATCTGCTATATACTAAATTATCTCATTCTTTATAGTAGTTTTAATTTAGTCTTTGAGTATTCTGGATGTATGATGATAATATCTACAAAGAGATATTATTACCTCTTCCTTTTTTTTTTTTCCTAAGATTTTATTTATTTATTTGACAGAGCACAAGTAGGGGAAGCAACAAGCAGAGGGAGAAGCAGGCTTCCCGTGGAGCAGGGAGCCCTATGCGGGGCTCGATCCCCAGACCCTGGGACCGTGACCTGAGCCAAAGGCTCAGACACTTAACTACTGAGCCATCCAGGTGCCCCTTACCTCTTCCTTTCTAATTCTTGGTTAGAACTCCTTTCTCTTGTAGAATATTGCAGCACTATGGTAAATAGTGGAGGTGCTGGGCGTTCTTTTATTTTCTTAATTTTATCAAGAGAGCTTCTAGAGTTTCCCCATTAAGCATGAGCCTGGCTTTGGAGCTGAAATATTTGTATTTTATCATGTTAAGTATCTTTCAGTTTCTTTTTTTGAATTTTAACTTGAATGGGGATTGGGTTTTGTTACATGCCTTTTCCATATCTAAGGAGATGATCGTATATATATCTAATAATACCATGTTAATATTAGGTTATTGACTCTTTCTTGCATTCCTGGAATAAACCCCATGTGGTCATGATGTATAAGGTATGATGGTGGATCTCTTTGCTGATATTTTATTTAACATTTTTGTGTTGTAGTGGAGGAGATCTGGAGTTTTTTTCTCCCCCCTCCCTCGGTTTTTGTTAAGTTTTGGCATCAAAGTTATATTCACTTTATAAAAATAATTTGGAGACTTTTCTTGTGTTACATCCTGTAATAGTGTAAGTTACATTAGAATTTTTTTTTTAAGGTTGGTAGAATTCCTTATGAACCCATTAAAGCCGGGTCCCTCTTTAGAAAGAGCACTTGTACAATTTTCTATTTCTATGAAAATTGGTCTGTTTTTCTCTCTCTACTGGGGTCAATTTAAGTTAAATCAATTTTCCTAGGAAAGCATAAATTTCCTCTAGGTTTTATATTTTATTGTCATAGTTATTCAAAATAGTCTCATGACTTTACATATTCTCTCTGGGTTATTACTGCCCCTTGTCATTTCTTATTTTGCCTTTTTTTTGTGTTTTGTCCCACTTCGTAAAATTAAGTTCGTCTATTTTAAAGATTTTATTTATTTATTTGAGAGAGAGCACGAGATGGGCGAAGGTCGAGGGAGAAGCAGACTCCCCATTGAGCAGGGAGCCCAATGAGGGACTCGATCCTGGGACTCTGGGATCATGACCTGAACCGAAGGCAGACGCTTAACTGACTGAGCCACCCAGGCGCCCCAAGTTCGTCTATTTTACTTCCCAAAGAACCAACTTTTTGATTCATTTATTAATGCTGTTTTGTTTTGTTTTTTTTGGTTTTCTGTCTCATTGATGTCTGTTTTTCTTTCATTCTATACTTTTTGTTTTCCTTTTCCCTTTTTCTAGCTGTTTTAATTGGGTGTTTATTTCCTTTTTAAAATTTCTATATAGATATATAGCAGTTTTATTTAAATATAATTGACATACCACGCGATTCACATATTTAAAGTGTGCAATTCAATTTTTTTACATATTCATAGAGTTGTACCATCACCATGATTAAATTTAGAACATTTTCATTATCTCAAAAAGATACCCCACAACTACTAGCAGTTCTTCCATAATGCTCCCAAACTTCTTAGCACCAGACAGTCGCTAATCTCCTTTCCATCTCTGTAGATTGTGCCTCTTCTGAATATTTCATAGAAACAGAATCCTACACTATGTGGTCTTCTGTGACTGGATTCTTTAGCATAGTATTTTCTAAGTTCATACATGTTTTAGCATGTATCAGTATCTCACTCCATTTTATGACTGAATACTCTGTTGTATGAATATGCCACATTTTATAAGTTCATGGACATTTGGTTACTTCCTCTTTTTGCCTGTTACAAATAATGCTGCTACGAACATTCACGTATAAGTTTTTGGGTAGACGTATGTTTTTATTTCTCTTGGTTATGTACCTGGGAGTGGAATTATTGGGTCATATGGTAACTTGTTTTTGACTTTTTGAGGGATCACCAGACTGTTTTCCAAGGTGGCTGTGCATTCCCAAGAGCAGTGTGTGAGAGTTCCAATTTCTCCACATCCTTGTCAGCACTCATTATGTGGCTTTTTTATTCTAGCCACTTAGTTGGTGTGAAATGGTATCTCATTGTGGTGTTGATTTGCACTTCCCTGATGGCTGAGGATGTCTATACATTTTCATGTGCTTTTTGATTTGCACTTCCCTGATGGCTAAGGATGTCTATACATTTTCATGTACTTTTTGGCCATTTGTGTATCTTCTTTGGAGAAATGCCTGTTAAGATCAGTTGCCTATTTTTTTAGTTGAGGTATAATTGACCTATAACATTATATTTCAGGTGTATGACATAATGATAGGATATTTGTATATATTCCCAGATGATCACCACTACACTTAGTCTAGTTACCATCCATCACCATACAGTTAATGAAATTTTTTTATGATGAGAACTTTTAAGATTATTTTCATAGCAACTTTCAAATATGCAATACAGTATTATTAATAAATAAATCTCCATGATTTATTTATTGCTCCTTTTTTTAAATGGGGTTATTTTTTTATTACTGAGTTATAAGAATTCTTTATATATTTGGATTCAACTCCCTTATCAAATGTAATTTACAAATATTTTTTCCTAATCTGTGTGTTGTCTTCTCTCTTGTTTGATGGTGTCCTTTGAAACACAAAACTTCTTAATTTTGATGAATTCTAATTTATTTTTTCTGTTATCATTTGTGCTTTTAATATTATATCTAAGAAAGCTTTGCCTAACCCAAGGTCAGGAATGTTTGCTCTGTATTTTCTTCTAAGAGTTTTATGGTTTAAACTCTGACATTAAAGTCTATGGTCCATTCTGAGTTAATTCTTATGTATGGTATGAGGTAGGGATTCCATGTGAACAGCTAGTTGCCTCAGTGTCATCTGTTGGAAAGACTGTTTTTTCCCCCCATTGAATGTCTTGGCACTCTTGTCAAAAGTCAATTGACTGTAAAATAAGGGTTAATTTTTAGATTCTCAGTTCTCTTCTGTTGGTAAATACACATCTGTATATTTATGTCAATACTACACTGTCTTGATCACTAGATCTTTGTGATAAATTTTGAAATTGAGGGGCGCCTGGGTGGCTCAGTCAGGCGTCTGCCTTCGGCTCAGGTCATGATCCCAGGGTCCTGGGATTGAGCCCCACGTCGGGCTTCCTGGTTGGTGGGGGGCCTGCTTCTCCCTCTCCCACTACCCCCTGCTTGTGTCCCTACTCTCACTGTGTCTCTCTCTGTCAAATAAATAAATAAGATCTTAAAAAAAATTTTTTTTTGAAATTGAGAAGTGTGAGTCCTCCAACCTTGTTCTTGATTTCAAGATTGTTTTCATTATTCTGGGCCCCTTGAATTTGCATATGAATTTCAGGATCAGCTTGTCAGTTTCTGCAGTGAAGTCAAGGAGATTTGATAAGCGATTGTGTTGAATCTGTAGGTCACTATGTAGAGAATCCCTATCTGTATCTGCTCAGGCTGCCATAACCAAGTACCATAGATCAGATGTTTCGTTTCCATGGTTACCTTTACACCGCTATCTCAGGGTGGTATCCTTGCTCCTTCTTAAAAAATGCTATTGGTTATGCTCGCTTTGGCAGCATATATACTAAAATTGAAGCAATACAGAAGATTAGCATGGTCCCTGCACAAGGATGACACGCAAATTCCTGAAGCATTCCAGATTTAAAAAAAAAAAAAAAAAGCTCTCGGTTGTAACAGTGTCCAAAGAACTTTCTATAATGATGAACATGTTCTTCATTTGTGTTCTCCAGTGTGGAAGCTACTAGCTGCATATGAAATGAAATGTGAATTGTGGCTACTCTAATTGAGAAACCAAATTCAAAGTTTCATTTAATGTCAATTAACTTACATTTAAATAGCCCCATATAGCTGGTGGCTACCACGTCAGATGGTGTAGGTCTTTTTTTAATCCCTTACTATGAACAATACTGAAATTAGTCACCTTTCCCTTCTACTCCTTCTCCCCAAAGTGTTTAATGTGGTATCTATTTAGTGCTAAATGAAACCTTTAAGGCAACCAGCAAGCTGACTTTCTAGATAATTTTTCCCTTCTCTGTCCATTTTTGATAACCTGAATTACATCTTCATCAGAGGGTATGACAAGTACAAAGTATTTTTCATCCTAGACCCACTACTCTTCATTCTACAGTTAAATATACTCAGTGCTCGTCAGTAGTTCTTAGGAAAAGCTGCTCTAAGCGTTTCTCGATTGTCTGAAGCATATTAGTTAGTATATTACTCAGGAAGGGCACACAGGAGCATTATTCCCCGATTACCTCAACTTCATCCCAGTTTGTAGCCTTTACACTTGAAGGTCACTTTGGCCAAATTAGGAAAAAAAAAAAAAAAAGTTGGCTTCCATTTTCTTTCGTGGGTATCTGTACTATGTTACTTCATTTCTTCCTTTGTGTTTTAGCGTTAAAGTATTCTGTGAAGGTGTAATACCTTGTAAGTTACTTGGTCATTTTACCTTATGCCAAAAGGATTTCTCTTCGGTAAAATCTAATAATTTTAATAGACTATGTCTTGGAGTTGACTGTTCTGGTCCAGGCACAACATGTCCCCTTTAAACGCACAGGTTCAAGTCAGTGTGTTTGTTTGTTTTCAGGAAAGTTTTTCTTTAATAGTTGCTTTTATTTGTTCCTCTCTACAGCCTTACCTTTACTTTCTTTACTTTTGCTGTGGGGGGAACGGGGGAAGGAGGGTCTCTTATACATATGTTGGATTCTTTGGCTCTTTCTGTATCCATCACTGTCTCTTAAATCCTTTTGATCTTTTTCTTCTACTGATTTTCTTTTTATGTTTCCATTCTATATACCATTTCCCTTTTTCTATCCCAGTCACTCTGCTAGTTTTTGTAATTTGAGGAGACTGGAAAACCATGCCACTGTCACCATCTTGCCCTGATCCTTATTGTGTTTTAAAGTTGCTGTGTTCGTGTCATTATATTTTGCTCACAAAACAACTTTATTTAAGAAGGGGAAATACCTTTAGAGGTATATTAATTCTAAAAGATTCTTACTCATCTTTTTATACCAGATGAGTTAAAAAGATCAATAGCCCGTGAAACTATTAAACTGAACATTTCAATGTGGAAGAGCTCTTTGCACAAACTCAGCTGTGGAACCTGATCCAGTTGATGCAGTACTTACACAGCACGTTCATCGGTTGAGGTGCTGATTACCTGGGCCTCTGGGCTTGGCAGGCCAAAAAAGCTGGAATCTAGAGACCTTGGCTGGTGTTGCTCTGAGCTGAGCAACAGTTGGGGGTACCTCCCCCCAACACTTGCCTCATCACCTGCCAACCAAGGACACCAAGAAGCCACATCCACTTCACTGCCTGTTTGGTTGGATTGTACGGGGTTAAATATCTGAAGGTCTCCTTTCCGCTGATCCTCTAACCCTTGAGGGTCATGGACAACAACAGTAAACCTTCATCTTGGAAGGCACACACACACATTTAGCTTATCCTATACAAAAATAATAGACTCTGCTCGTAATTTGGTAATTCTGTCGGTTCATCATGGAATCTCCTGCATTTGCTGTCATCTGTACACCAGTCGGGGAACTCTATCCTTTTCGACAAGATTTCGTTCAGCCCGACTCCCGCCACCTCCCTGTCTCTCCAGAGGCTTCGGTGGGGGCCACACTCCTCCCCATCGCCTCCCCTTCTTCAGAACTGCAGTGTCTACTGATTTAGTTTGGCTTCTGGATGCTCTCCCATGCCTCTCCTTGTTCCATACCCATCCCTCCACCTCACACTGGGCGCCGCTCGGATGCCTTCGCCACAGGGCTGCAGGTGACAGACTTTGGGGGCCCGTTTGGAGTGAAGCGTGAGGGTTTGAGGAGGTTTGTGGATTAACATTCAGACTGATGCCTTAAAGTGGGATATTAGACCCTTGTTTTGAAAAAAATCTCTTAGTCGCTGTTAAAGCAGCATCCCTCCACTCCCCTAAGCCCGTCACCTCATCTTTCTGGGCTCCCCACTCCCTCACAGACCCTTCTTTCCTTCATGTAGCTACTCCTTGGAAAAACTAACATTCTTAACTTCATTGCGCAGAACGACGTGGTTCTGTCTGCCTGGAGCTACCTCTTCGGTGATTCAGTGCCCCATCGCCGGGCTTTGCTAAATAAAAGACTATTCCAAGAAGGAAGTATGTGTCTCTCCTAGGAGCCAGAGCTGCTGTGGCCAATTACGGGTTCTCTCTTGTCTTTCTCTTTCTGTCTCCTTTCTTGCTAGTAGCCCTGCTCAAGAGTGTTTGAGTTGAGAAGGAAGAAGGGCGAGAGCGTTTGTACGGACAGCAACCATGGAGGAACACTTGCTGGAAATCAGGTGGGATGCGGGTCCGGCGGGAAGTCCCCGGGGGGGGGGCTCCAGGAGGGGCGCCTGAGGCAGGCCCAGGACTGAGAGCTGCTGTGGCTAAGAAAGAACCATTCTGAGAACCCACCCCTCAGGGAGGGATTATTTTAATGCTGCCTCTTTCACACAAATGAAAATAGCGCCTTGGATCCCGCACTTTGCCCCAAGTTAACAGAGCTGGTAAATAGTAGGCGTGGAGTAAAGCAGGCTCCTGGCTCCGGTCCACACTCTTGGTCACGGTGCTGCTTTGGCGCACTCGGAAGACAAACACACTTAGAATGCCAGTCGACCGCTTTCTTCCTCAAACCCACAGTAAAGCGCCTCACCTCGCAGAGGCTCCGTTTCCTTGCCTCTAACAAGATGGGCGCGTGGAAACCTGTCTCATGGTGTTGCTTTGAAGATTAAATCAGCCAGCAGATGTGAAGCCTAGCAAGTAGTAGATTCCGTAAAAATCAGCATTCCTTCTTTATGATATGTTCTGTATTTAGTGGGAAGGATCATTAACAGTGTTCTTAAGGGGAAAAAAAGATCAAAAACTTTCTAAGATTATTTTATTTTGTCAAGAGTCATAAAAAGCATTGAGGGACAAACCAAACATCAGTGCCTGTTCTTTTATTTTGATTAATATAATTTAAACGGGGGAAAGAATGACTGTGGGCTTGTAGCTAGAGATGAAGAAATGTTGCAAGAATAATACAATTTGCTCGATTAAAGGAAAATCACAATTGGCATGTTGAAGGGCTCGCCTTTAAAAACATGACATAGAATCACAAATAATTAGGTCAGGTTTTGCTCCAAGTTACGACTGCCTTTTTTCAACGTTCCTCCTTTCCTTGGAGACTGTTGAACAGAGCGACAAGCATCCCCAGCCCCTTTGCTCCAGACTCTACCTAAGAATGAATTTATCCAGGTGCTAATGCCACAGAAGGAGAAGGTAAACTTGAACTAGCGCTGCATTATTAGCTTTGTTGTGGCTACTTAAAGGCTTTTGCGTATATAAAGAATGAGACTTGTATATTACACATTTTCATTCTCATATTTCCGCATAATCCTGAAAGACAGATTTGTAAATACCATATCCTGATTTTCATTCACTAATCCCAGTTTTTACTTTTTTTTTTTTTTTAAGATTTTATTTATTTATTTGTCAGAGGGAGAGAGCACAAGCCGGGGGACCTGCAGGCAGAGGGAGAAGCAGGCTCCCCGCTGAGCAAGGAGCACAATACGGGGCTCCATCCCAGGACCCTGGGATCATGACCTGAGCTGAAGGCAGACATTTAACCACCTGAGCCACCCAGGCGCCCCAGTTTTCACTATTTTTAAACGTACGCAGCTCCTTGGGTTCCTAGAAGACGCTCCAGGGAACCCGCCCAATGGTTGGCCACGCAGGGAGGGAAGGTATGGGCCACAGTGGAACGTCGAGGCTGCATTTTGGTCTCAACTACTGACTAACTCGATGTAGGAACAAGTCACGCCAGCCCCTCTCTGCACCTCAGCCACTTCCTCAGTCAAGAAAGGGAGTTAGGCTAACAAGTAATGACAATGTGCTAGTTACCGTGATATGTGGTGAATACAGATGATCTCCTTTTAGCCTCACCGAGAGAAGTCCGTACTTTGGTTATCCCCCATTCCCTGGTGGAGAAACAGCCTCAGAGGCATGGTCACCTGTCCAAAGTTAGTACGCGGTGTGGCCCAGATGTTCCCAGAGTCTGTCCTGTTTCTGGCTTGCAGTATTCATGTATTCAACTCAGTCTTTGGTCCTCCGCTAGGTGCTCGGACACGGAGCTCCCTGGGATGCGGGTTCCAGCCCAGAAGGAAGCACCATGATGGGGTGGGTGGAGGGCAGCCATCAGGAATGCGGGAAGGGCTGGCTGTGGACCGGCCCACCAGGCAGGCCCCTCCCGGGAGGTAACACGCTGAGCCCAGAGCGGGGAGAAGGTGCCAGAGAAACCAGTTAAGTCTAGTCAAGAGGTCAGCAACCTTTTTCTGTAAAGGGCCAGATATAACTATTTTGGCTTTATGGGCCATAACACTCTCTGTTGTCACTACTGTGCCCGTGTGGTATGGAAGGCAGCCACGTACAACATGTAAATGATGAGTCTGGCTCGGCTCTAACAGAACCTGGTTTATAGAAGCAGGTGAGTGGCCACATTGGGCCCCGGGGGCCAGAGTTCGCTGGCTGCTGTTCTAGGTGGTAAGTACTAAGGTACAAGGTAGTGGCAGTGAAGGGATTTAGGTAAGTAGGCGGAGAACCATTTGAAAGTAGTTGCTTTTTGGTGGGGCGTGTTTATTTTTTAATTCTTTAAT